AATTCATTTATTACTGCTTTACCAGTCTCTGCAGCCTGATTTTTTATAGCAGTTATATCCGAAAGGAAAAGAGGTTTTATATAATTAAAAAGACCGCTAAAAAAATTTCCAATTCCTCGTCCTTGCTGAATAATTCGTGGAGACACATACAGACTGCCAATATTATTTAGTCCGGCACCGCACTGATTCACATAATATTCGTGATAAGATTTCACCATGATGACTATTCTTGTTCTAATTAAACATCATTGGGGTATGTATTATTTATAGGCTTAACCTTCTTTTTTTTCTAAAGTGTAGAGTTACAAAAATCGGAACAGCTGAAGTTTCAAAAGGAACCTTATATCCATTTGAATCAGTAATTAGTATTGAGATTTCGTTTGGAGACCATATAAAGGATAATATTCAATATTTTTAAATTGAATATTTCTTTCTTTTCCATTATAATGCATTACACGAAGACATCGAGGTCTTTTACAACCTACAGACCTTGGTTTGATTATGTCAGTATAAATAAAAATCAATCCATTTTCAGGTATTTTAGATTCAACAGGAACATTTGAGTATCTAAATGTTTCAGCATTTACTAAGCTAACAAATTCAGTTTCTTCACCTATATTTCTTTCTTTAGTAGTTGTTTTGTAAATGTAATTATTCAGATATATGTCCGTAATGCCTACCTCCCAGTATTCATTCATGTCTTGCGGTATATTTACAATATTTGTAAATGCACATTTTACATTATCAGGAAATACATTCATTGAATCATTACTAAGCAATGTGACAAACAACTCATTTGAATAACACATCTTTATATTGAAATTTCTGTTATTGATAAGATATCCAATTAATTTTGTTTTTCCCTATTTGCACCGGCTTAGTTCGAACCGATCTAGACAACTTTTCTCGTCCTGTTATATATTTTAAATCTTGAAATGGTAATGAAACCGCTTTAATTTTTTTTAGCTTAACTCTCAATTTGCGTTGTTGATCACTGAGCTTTATTTTTGGTACTGCCAGTTTTTTGATATCCTCTTTGTCGTCTAAAAACGAAGTATCTCTTATTTTTCGTTTAACGTTCAATAATTTTCGTGTTTTATTTGATTTAAAATCTTCTCCATCACTCTCGGTAGGTAAGTCCATGAACTCTATCTTTTTTGGGAGTGATACATCAGACTGAAACTTTTGTTGAACGTTAACAGAATTAGGTATTTTGTTTGATTTAAAATCTTCATCATCACTTTCTGGGGACCCAAGTGTCGCATCAGTCTTTGGTTTTAATTCAGAAGTAGTCGGTTTTATATCAACCCAATCTGTAGTTTGCGATTCAGTTGTTTTGGTTGACATAAATGGCGATTTTTGTTCATTTTGAATATTCCATGATTTATTACGTTTTTTATTTTGATAGAAACTAAGTTCTTGTCTAATTTTAAGCCATTTATCAAAATCACTTATTTTGTTATTATTTAAAATTGGTAAAAATTTTGTACTTATCAATTCATTTCCTCGAGAGTTGTTTACTAATTTTTGAAACTATGTTTGTTTTTAATCATTTTTTAAAATTTTTCCAAAAACTCCTGAGAGCAACGAACTTAGTAGAATAGGTAAAAATCCACCTTTTTGAATAAGAACTTTTCTCTTAGAGTTTAATGTGCGCTTTGGACATGAAAGGTAGCGCAATGCACTTTTATACTTTTTTAGGGAATTTAGATGCGTTTTAGTAACCTTATGATTTCTTCGTAATGTGTTCAAAACTATTTCCACTATTGTTTTTACCAGTTCACTATCGCTATTGTTTATTATTGCCTTTCGTAGTTTATTGCTAGCCTTTTTGAGCACATACAATATATGTTTGTTCGCTTTCAAGCGATTTAGATTCTTTTTGTAAACCATTTTCTTCGGAATAGCACACCGTATACTCAGAGTTAAAAATGTCAGATCTAAACCGTAAGAGATCGTTGGGGTTGCTCTGTTATTTCTTTATATATTATAAATAATTCTGTTGGGTTTTCTGGATAAATTTGTCTTGCCGAACATTGAAATTGAAGCTTATCTCGGGGATTTTTAAAAGCTATTAGATATTTGGTATTTAGTGAAATATCACGGGTATGCGATGATTTATGAAATATATTTTGAGTAACCACAACAACTGATAAATTCCGGTGATGTGATCCTTTCGTAAACAGTTCACAAACATTTTTGTTAAAGGCACCCATCATCAAGTCGTCTAGAATCAACAGAATAGGCTCATTAATTTCGTTTTCGATGGTTTCAGGAACTCCTTTAAAGTATTCAATATTACTAAAAGTTGGTTTAGCACTTTCCTCTCCATAACACCAAATAATTCGATCAATTGAAATATTAAAAAGATCATTCTTCTTGGAAATCAGGTTTTCTAAAAATGTTGTTTTTCCTGATCCAGAGGGCCCGCAAATTAACATTGGGAATGGATGTATAAATTGTGTAAACATTTTTTAATTTTAGGTATATGTCGGAGAACTAAATTCATCCCCTTGTAAGTCGTCATTGCAGGTGAATTGATCGTTTGGTTCTTGATTGCCTGAACTTAATTCTGGCAAATGCAGCGAGTCTTCGATGCTTTTGTTGCTCATCATTCTCTCGTAAGGACCAAACACGTGTCTATCTCACGCCACGCTACAAACCAGAAAAAAGAAAAAGAGAGACCAGACCTAGCAACGCATACGAAGCCACACTCGGCCTCAGCTCGCAAACTGAGTCCCCATTCTACCAAAACTAATATCTAGTATATCTAGTATACCAGCACAGCCCATGGTCATACCTGTCGAAATGCTTCACTACCTACTCTCCGACACGGCCATTCTGACATAGACACGTCCTCGTGTCTACAATAAACCTCTCAGTTTCATTCCAACATTATAATTTTATTGAATACTTCAGGAAAACTTAACCAAGTAATCTCAAATTCATATTACAAATCATAATGTTCTCTTATAAACCATTTCTTTCATTTACATTTTCACTCAACAGATCATTTAAACATTATCAAATTATAAATTATTCATTACAAATCATTAAATCATAATCCATGAAACAGAACTTGTCTTATACTAGCCAACTTCGTCCATCGCCAAACACATTGGCTTCACGCATTTTTTTTTTTTCTTTCTCGTCCATCGCCCAACACTTGGCTTCACGAATTCATTAACCACGTCGCTCGTACATCGCCCAACACTTGGCTTCACGAATTCATTAACCACATCGCTCGTACATCGCCCAACACTTGGCTTCACGAATTCATTAACCACATCGCTCGTACAACACTTGGCTTCACGAATTCATCAATCTCATTTCTAAAGCAACCTTCGTTCATCACCAATCACATGGTTTCACGACACTCTTCTGTTTCAACAGACTTTTCCAACAAACTTTGTGCTTTATAATTTACATCAAGCTCTTCTGGAATTTGCACATCCGGTAACTTTCTCAAACTTTCGTGTGGATACTTGTAACGTCTATTGTTCTGTGTAGACTTTAAAACGTATCGATCTCCGTTCAAAACCTCGACCACCAAAAAGGGTCCTCTGAACTTTGGATCTAGTTTTGTTTGTTGTCTCTCACTATTTTTAAGTAACACAAAGTCGCCCACACAGAACTTAATTACCTTAGCCATATTCTTGTTAAATTTTGTTTTCTCATACCTAGCGACCTCTTCCATGTTCTTAGCGGCTAGCTCTCTTAATTCGATCTTGTCAAATTCGGTTTCAGTATCGCCAATAGGAATCAACCCCATTGGACGCGCAACTTTACCGATCAAAAGTTCTAAAGGACTACACTTAGTGCTACGATTAACTGTACAGTTAAGGGCTAACTGAACGTCCCCTAGTGCATCTTGCCACGATCTAGGGCTTGTCTCAACAGCCGTCAACAGATTTTTAAGTGTGCTCATAACCCTTTCAACTTGGCCGTTGGCTCGACTTGCACCTGTTCCAATTAGATGTAATTGTATCTTTTCATTAGAACAAAATTGCGCAAACTTTGTACCCGCAATTAAACGTGTTGGCACACCAAAAATGGCAATCGAAGATTTCATTGCGCTTATACAAGTATTAGCATCCAAAGAAAAGGTGTGAAATAGATAAACATATTTAGTAAAAGCGTCGATTTGTACTATGATATATTCTTTACGATCACTTTTTCCACTTAGTTTTCCCGAAATATCTATGTGTACTGTGTGCCAACGAATGCTAATTTTTGGAATTGGATGTAATTCAATTTGAGGTTTTCCAGACGTACTCTTAGACACTCTGCATGTAATACAGTTCTCCACAAATCTTCGGACATATTTTGCCATACCAGTAAACCAGTAATGATCGTACACCTTGTGTAGCGTTTTTTCCCAACCTAAATGCATGATAGACTCATGTACCTGATTTATAACTGACCAGCGGAACGTACGAGGAACTACAGGTAAACAACGAGTTCTGGAATGCCTCTGAATCTTTCTATACAAAACATTTGATCTCATTTCATAAGTGGCAACTAGTGCTAATGGTAAATCGTCATTCTTCAACTTAGTTATGATTTCTAATATTTCTGGATCCCTTTGTTGTTCCACCAGTATCCAGTTTTCTTATATTTCTGTTAAGTCAATTCGCTTCTCTTCTATTTTATTTGGTACAGACTTATTCTTTTGGCACACTGGATTCCTAGATAAAAAGTCCACGTGTGCCATGCGTTTACCTTTTCTGTATTCAATTTCGAAATCAAATGCCTGTAGAAACTCCCACCAACGATAAACCCTAGGTGACAATTCGACTTTATTTCGAGAAGATTTGATTGAATTACAGTCAGTAAAAACCACGAATTTTCTGCCATGCAGATAATGACGAAAATGTTTTACAGCATTCACGACAGCCAGCGTTTCCAATTCATAGGATATATATCTGGACTCACAGGAGCTAGTGGCTCTACTATAGTATTCAACCACGTGAGGCTTAGAGTTTATGCGGTGCAAAAGGATTGCCCCATACCCTATAGAACTGGCATCGGTATGCAACTCTATCGGAAACTGTGGATCGAAAATAATCAAAACAGGCTTGTTTGTTAATACACTGATGATTTTGCTGCGTATTTCTTCATGCTGTACTTGCCAATCAAAACTATTCTTTTCAGATGTGAGAAAATATAACGGCTTCATTAATTGTGAAAAACCCGGAATGAATTGACGAAAATATGACGCTAACCCAATAAACTGTCTCAGAGTAGCAACTGATTTCGGTGGAGGCAACGCCACTAGCGATTCCATTTTGTTTAAGTTTGGACGTATTTCCCCCGCTTTTATCTCGTAGCCAAGGTACCGAACTGCAGTTCTCAAGAAGAAGCACTTTGAAATGTTAAATGAGAATCCTGCCTTCACTAGAACGTCTAATACCAGTTGCAGTCGCTCAAAAGCTTCGTTTTTTGCTTCCGAAACAATTAATATATCGTCCATATAAACGAATGAGCCAAACTACCAAGTGCTTTCAGTACAGCTCTTTGAAACACTGAGGGTGCGTTCTTTAAACCAAAGGGCATCGAAAGAAATTCGTACTGCCCATCAGGAGTAACAAATGCTGTATATTCAATTGATTCGGGGTGCATTCAAATCTGGTAATAGCCGCAAGCCATGTCAAGAGAAGTGAAATAGTTAGCTCCCCTAAGTCTAGCTATTTGATCTGAGATCAACGGTAATGGAAACTTATCCGCTACTGTATTTTTATTCAATTCTCTATAGTCGACGCAAAGTCTTGCTGTACCATTTTTCTTCTTTACCAATAATGCAGGACTAGCAAAAGGTGAACTACTAGGTCTGATGACTTTATACTCGATTAATTCATTAATTTTAACTCGTACTAGTTCGCTTTCGCATGGACTAAATCTGTATGGCCGCCTTTGTACAGTCTTAGTCGGTTCAATCAACCGAATACGCATTTCCTCAGTACTCACACGCGTTTGCGGAGTGCCTTCTGTAAACGATTTTGAATGTTGCTTTAGCAATGATATTAACATTTCTTTTTCATTTCCGACCACTTCAGTTTCAATGTTATCAAAATCAATAGGTTGAACTGTTTCACAAACATTCACAGCTTTAGTTTGAATAATCTTAAAATTATCATAAGACACTTCTACTGAAAACCCTTGAGCCCATATTTCTCTGCCAATTACAATATTATTCGTCATGCATTCATCTGGTACTATGTGGAACAAAACTACTAAAGAATTACCTTCAACCATGATGTTTGACTCAACTTGTACAGTGCTGTAAGTATTGGCATTGCCTATTCCCTTTAGAGAGATAACGCTATGAATCCTCTTACCAACTAACTTATTAGAAACACTTTCTTTAATTAATGAACACTCAGCTCCCGAATCAAATGTTATTGGAAATCTCTCACCATCAACCAGCATACTCGATTTAGGCTCCGCCACAGTGCACAGCTCCACTCTCTTTTCCGATCTTACTCTCGATCCGGTATTCTGCACTTTTTTTTGACAATTAGTGGCAATGTGTCCCGGCTCCTGGCATCTGTAACAAGTTACAATTGGCCTTTCCTGATGAGACTTCCCAGAACGCCGCTCTTTTTCAGTTGACGAGAACTGAAATCCTAGTCCAGATCTACAGTCTTGCTTTTTATGTCCTGGTTTTCCACACTGATAACATTTTAGATCAGCAGTTTTAGCCCGCTTAGTCTCCGGTTCCCAGTTTGGTGCAATAGGACGCTCCTTCAGTGCAGAAAATACTTGCAGCTCCGCTTGCAGCTCACGTCGATTGCTGATATGCGTTGTGTGTATCATTCGTTGTAAACGCCGGTCGAAATTAGCCATATGCCCAAGAATCAAAGCGATGGAAATTTGTTCACAATTTAAATTACGCAATTTTGTGCACAGTGACGTCACGCTGCGGCTCGCAAAAACAGGCAAGCTCTCACCGTTCCTTGGGCGACTATTTAGAAGATTAAAAATAACAGCGGCTGGCGTCTCTGAAGACTCGAAACGCTGCTCAAATAATTGCCGGAACTGTTGCCAAGTTATTCCTGGGTAGCATATTTGTGACAACCACTGGGCCGCTGTGCCTTCCAAGGCCTTACTCAGCGCTAATATAAGAGCGCTGTCACTTAGCGGTTTCGTTTGTAAAATTATGTCGACCGTAGCGCACCACTGCGTGGCATCCACTCCAGCAATGTCCGGATTATATTTCGGCAAGCAAATCTCGCCAGTCTGTTGTACTGTGCTCGCCGGCATCTGTAGTTTCTTAACCAGTTCCAGAAAATTCCGGTTTTGTTGCTCCAACAACGCGAAGACATCCCTTGACAAAGTTTGGTTAGGGCCGAATCCCACTTCTGATGTCGGAGAACTAAATTCATCCCCTTGTAAGTCGTCATTGCTGGTGAATTGATCATTTGGTTCTTGATTGCCTGAACTTAATTCTGGCAAATGCAGCGAGTCTTCGATGCTTTTGTTGCTCATCCTTCTCTCGTAAGGACCAAACACGTGTCTATCTCACGCCACGCTACAAACCAGAAGAAAAAGAGAGACCAGATCTAGCAACGCATACGAAGCCACACTCGGCCTCAGCTCGCAAACTGAGTCCCCATTCTACAAAAACTAATATCTAGTATATCTAGTATACCAGCACAACCCATGGTCATACCTGTCGAAATGCTTCACTACATACTCTCCGACAAATATATAAAATAACTATCTAATAATAGAGCTGAAAATCATCATAGCTTCAAGGTTTTTTAACATATACGCAAGTAAATCATAATTTTAATGTTTTCAAAAGTATTTAATTCTTGCAATTGCTGCAAGGGTATGTGAACTTCGGCTTGCCGAAGTTTGCTTTCTTTTTGTTTTTTATTTTTATTCCGATTGTTCCCATGGGAGCTATATGCTATAGTCGTCCGATCCGGCGCGTTCTGACTTATATACTACCTGCAATAAAAAGACAACTTTTGGGAAAGTTTCATGCAGATAGCTTTAAAACTGAGAGTATAGTTTGCGTAGAAACGGACGGACAGACGGACATGGCTAGATCGACTCTGCTTGTGATGCTGATCAAGAATATATATACTTTATAGGATCGGAAATGCCTCCTTCACTGCGTTGCAAACTTCTGACTGAAATTATAAAACACTCTGCAGGGGTATATAAATGGGTAATAGATATAAAAGAACATTTTCTGTTTTTTAAAAAATAAACAAAACATAATACAAAATTTCACAAGAAAGAAAGCAAACTTCGGCTTGCCGCTAATGCTATTGCAAAAATTAAATATTTTTTTAAACATTAAAATTATGATTTACTTGCGTATATGTCTAAAAACATTGAAGCTATGATGATTTGCAGCTCAATAATAAATAGTTATTTTATATATTTTTAATATTTCTATGGGAGCTATATTATATAGACGTCCGATTTTGATAAAATCTAAACCATAATTCTGAAATATTTAACCATTGCTATATGTCGAAGAACTGAACAAATAATTAAAAAACAGAAAAGTTATAATTTTTTTTTTTTTATTTTTCCGGTTGTTCCTATGGGAGCTATATGATATACTCGTCCGATTTAGATGAAATTTAAACCGTAATTCTGAAATATTTAACCATTACTATATGACGAAGAACTAATAGAAAAATTTAAAAACAGCAAAGTTATAATTTTTTTTGGTTTTTTTTCCGATTGTTCCTATGGGAGCTGTATGATATAGTCTTCCGATTTTGATGAAATTAAAGCCGTAATTCTGAAATATTTAACCATTACTATATGACGAAGAACTAAAAAAAAATTAAAAAACAGCAAAGTTATAATTTTTTTTTTTTTCAATTGTTCCTTTTGGAGCTATATGCTATAGTCGTCCGATCCGGCTCGTTCCGACTTATATGCTACCTACAATAGAATGACAACTTTTGGGAAAGTTTCATGCAGATAGCTTTAAAACTGAGAGACTAGTTTGCGTAGAAACGGACGGACAGACGGACATTGCTAGATCGACTCGCCTAGTGATGCTGATCAAGAATATATATACTTTATAGGGTCGGAGATGTCTCCTTTACTGCGTTGCAAATTTCTGACTGAAATTATAATACCCTCTGCAAGGGTATTAAAAAAAGCCAACTTCGGCAAGAAGAATATATAGGTACCCTTAAAGTTATAACAATTATTTAATATACATATTTATTTTGTCTGAAAATTTGTATTTAATGCAGACTTACCAAATCATAAATAAAACAAGAAAGAGCTAGTGCCCCGACACTTAAATATCCGTTACTCAACTTATTAATTTTAAAACAAATATGCCCTCACAAAACAATCTGGGCTTTGGTGGCGCCTTCTGGCAATCTGCATGCTGGCAAATACAAGCTAAAACGGAACATCGCCAAAAACTTTCAGTCGATAGATTTATTTATTTAAAAGTGACATGACCGACTTTCGCGGTTTGTGGGCTGATGTCAGACAGGCCGCAAGAAGCCCAGCGATAATAATGGGCGAGAAAGCCGAATAGTACATAGTTTTAAGCCTGCATTGAGCTCGTTCAGAACATGCGTGAATTTTTCTTAAATTATGAACTGTTTCGGTTATATTGGGCGATTTTCGGAAATTTGTCCAAAATACCCGAAAGATATATATATTTTTGAGTAATGGAAAAGTTTTTTTTTTTAAATAGAACAATAACGGAACTTTGTGCTGTCATCACAGGTGCTGATTTTGGCCAAAAGAGTAGAAGAAATCAAAAAAAATCAGTAATAAATAATCAGGGTGTTTTTTTTATATATATAAAAATCTTAAAGTTTAACAAAACTTCGGACAAAAGTGTCGTTTTTTGAGTTAAAAAAGTAGTTTTTCTTATGCCACGTTGACATCTTTCTACCAATGAAATATATCGTAATTTATTTTTTTTCAACTTGAAGTCGATTGATCAGTATATCGTTGAGTTATACAGCCCTGTTCCAAAAGAAAGATTTACACGGAGTCGAATTTCCCAGACCCGTTTCCATTTTTCACTTCCGAAATACTTGCACGGAATCTAAGTTCCCTCTGTTAATTCTCTCTTAACTTCCGCAAAAAACGCACCGAAACTTTTCGCCAAGCATTTGGATGACGGATTCAGATCCGCAAGAACAGAAATTAATTTTTACCTTATTCTTTTATGTTTTAAGAACATTGTTGCATAACAGATTTGGTTAATAGTAACATATTTGACTTTTTAAAAATTATTTTGTGATGGCACCTCAGGATCGCTTCGATTCTAGCCTA